ACACCACCTTACCACACACAGGATATTGAAGTGGATGTTGATTTATTTAAAAAAAAAAGTAAAATAAAACCTGCAAAAATCCAGTCTACACTATCTACGAAGCAGGAGAGGGCGTTGAAGCCACACTGTAAATATAGAATAAAAACCAGTTTGTGTTTGCTGATGCTGCACAGAATCAAGGGGAAAGATCACAACCAGAATGTGATGCAAGTCTAGGTTTCAGACTCAACAGTTTGGTTTTGCTTCCCTGTTTGTGCTGTGCCGCCTGAGCATTTGCTACTACATGTTAAAACCACTGTCTACAACATCAGGCTACTCTGAACATTGAATACTGAAACCAAGAGTCCTGTTTCAGCAACACAGGAGCATTAACAACCATCTGACGGAGCTATATAGCTTCACTTGAAACTAAACAGTTTTGATGCTGTTATTTTTGTTTTGTGTGTGTTTGTGTGTGTGTGTGTGTGTTATGGTGTTTTGTGATAGCCACCGTAGAAGTTCTGCATGGTGTTGATGCAGCTGCTTAAACTGGTATCTTACACAGTTCAACAACYGGGATGTTCTACGCTGGCTACACCTGAAGAGCACAGAAGACAGATGCAGCACTGTCACTTGTGATACTTTTCCTYCTAATAAGAGGGTGTCTCACTCCCGATGCACTCAGGACCACATATACATAAAAAACTAGTCATCTTTTACATAACCCTGTTATACCAGCTCATGTGTGAGACACAGTGTTGTGTTGTAGGTTTGTTTAAGCAGCGTTTGGCTTTTRGTTTTCAGTTGGGCCTGAATATGTTTGTGTTAAACGACCAACACCAGTTGTTGCTGTGAAAACAGGACGTTCCTGTAGGAACACCTGTGAGTTGGACGTGTTTACGGTAGGATTAACGATACTCCTCGATTTCGCAGGAGTCCAGGTGACACAACAGACGACGTCTGATCTGACAGCATCCCGCTGTCCGGGTCGGCTCAGTCCAACCAAACCTGGTTCAGAGATGTCGGACACGTTGGATGTGTGTAAACGTGCTGCCTGGACACACAGATGTGTTCTTTGGCGTCGTCACTCCTAAACACCAATAATTTGTTTTGTACAAAAAAAGAAACGGAAAGAACTAACCTGTTCTTCTACTTGAACGTTTATCAAGCCTGGGTTAAACAGTCCTTAAAAAACCACCTGTTACACTTTGTTTCAGGTTTGATCTCCCTCCTGAGACTCTTATCCTCTGAATTTGGTAACAAAGATAAATCTGTGGGACTGCTGAACCCGGGGCTGATGGGAACTGTGAGAAGTAGTTTYCTCAGTAGTAGTCGTGTTGGAAATCAAATGATAAAGCTCGCCAAATAAGGAAGTTTCTAGACATACACGTCTCACTTTATATATATTGTGAATGATATATCTTTTTACATACATGGTTTTTTTATATTTGATTCTTTTTTTTAAAGTTTTTTAAACCCCTGAGAATACCATGATCTGCTTTTTTAAGTAAAAAATACAACTCTAGGAGAACAACAAAAACTCTGTAAAATTGCTGAAAAAAATAAAAATAAAAATAAAAAAAACGTCTCGATTTGAGAACTGAAGAGCACAGGCCTCTGAAGTTAATTATTACACTGTTTTAGTGGAGTTTAATGTGAGGAACGTTACGCAGCAGAGCCGTCACTACAAGGGTTCAGTTAAGTCAAGCTGGAGCTGCTGAACTTTGTCAAACTGGACCTAAAATACAGACTGTACTGATGGGTCATCTAAGAAACTGAATTATTTTGATGTTCTTCAGTCTGATAGCAATACCTCATTGGTTRTGAGAAATAACTTTGATGGGAACGTCTTAAAAGGAGTTTAGATATTTTAAAAATAGGTTCTGTGAAAAGGTTATGAACAATTAATGTCTTACCTGCTGTAGATAGTAGGGGTGCAACAATACATGTACCTACTGTATATTGAACAGTGCTTTAGGTTCAATACACACTTGTATGGAACAATGCAGATTTTTAAAATTTATTTTATCAGCTTGTCTTCTGAAGATGCTCTGTGTTGAAGGATCAGTGGATCTGTGTTCGACTACTCCACCTAGGCTGCATTTTGAGCACAGATCCACAGAGAGACTTGCTGTTTCAGCAACATTTAATTTAAACACTGTACTTTTGAGGTTAAACAAATGTTCATAATTAATTTAAATAAATTACAAGTTAAAAGGGGCATGAACATTTCTCTTTTTTGCATCGAAAAAATATAGAACCGTGAGACTAAAGTATCGAACCGAACCGAATCGTGAATTTCCTGTATCGTTGCACCCCTAGCAGATAGCTATTTGAACCTTCTCGGTTTGTAGAAATAGTTTATTTCTTAACGAATTAATGAAATAACTGGTAATCTAAGCGGGGTCTAAACCAACCCATTTATTTTTTCATTTTAAAATCAACTTAAGTAAAAAAAAATTACAGCCTTTATAATGTAATTACATAATTACATTATACAAGTATTATTTTTAAACTGTTAATTTTACATTACATAATTATTGATAAGAATTTTATGATATTCCTGCAAAAAGTGGCCGAGGCTGTACCAAATGAGCTACAGCTTGCTGCTGCTGCTGTTTGAAAATAATATAATTCTATGAGCATAATTATAAAATACAAAATAGAAAAAAATAATGCCTTTTAACCAATAAGAGGGAAATG